TCGTGACTACTGCGTACAAAAACAGGTTGGACACATCTAAAAGGTGAGTTTTAGCATGATGTGCATGACATTCACAAACTGCTGCTACATTATTGTTGCCACTAGACTAGCATCCTAACTGCTAACTGACAATAACTAAACTTCACTGTTTAGTTAGCAGCAGCTCAGCTAATCAAACAAAAGACAAGTTTAGAGCAATACCCACCAATGAAAAGGAAATATTGAGAGATTGAAACAACAAAAGAAAATCCCGTTTCTACTTGTTTTATGAATACCTAAAAAACCGGTTGGTCGTGATTCTACAATACATAAATTCATAGAACAAATGGCGAATGCTTTCTCGAAGCCCAAAATGGAGCAACTGTAGGATAAAGTACCCGGATCATGCTTACTGGGCATGCGCATTGGAGTGTTCCCTTAAGCCCCGCCTCCGATCTCCGTCTCTCTGCTCAATTCAGTGAATGGAGAGAGAAAAAACACATAACGCATTTTACAACTTTTAGCCCCTAACGATTTAAATGTAGGCAATACAAGTGTTAGTGCTGGGTAGTTTATTAAGCCCAAACTCAATCATACGCTGATTTACAGACGTCTCTTTCCCCAATGTAAGACTGTTGTTTGGTGCATTAAGTATGATGCCTTCAATGTCCAACAAAATGTCGTAAATTTCATTTGCAAGCGCAAGACAATAAGATAAAGGCAACACGATTTGCGATTTCCCATTAACTGTGGTATTGTGTAAACATTCCAGAAACCGAGTGAACAATAAGTGTTGCTGAATCTGGAATATATGTTAGTTTACTAATTCTTCGAAACATATATTTCCAAACCTGCTGATATTTGCACTTCATTGTTACATTAGTATCGATTATATCAACCAGACCACATCCAGTCAAGATGTTGAGATGCACAGCTAATTTTTCGGCTTTATTGCCATTAAAAGCTGTAAGCTTAAAGTATCGTATGTGATAAATATGGTCATTTTCTGAAGTGACCGTGCTGTAATAATCTACTTTACTGTGAGCACTTAAGGCAATACGTCCATGGGTTCTTTCTACTGACGTAGGAAAAGCTAAACATAAATGATATACAATGAAGCAAATACCTTAGAAGAGATTGGAGTGTCCTTGTATTTTCTGTGAATTAGGAGATTAAACAATTTTTGTATTTGTGATAAACAAAAAATCCATCCATAAGAAAAGACTCCAAAATAAAACCGGACACTTCAACCAAGAACTACAGCAATATGGCACCAAGTTAAAAATATAACTCTGGATGAATTGATTAGTTCATATTCTGTAGTTGTGACATTAAACCTTTGAAATTAAATGAATAAAAATGAACTGTTTATGCATCATTTTTATTCGAATGTATGTCACCTATTATTTGTATTTCCCCCCTTTTTTTTAAATGTGTATGTGTGCCCGTGTTTTGAACAGTTTGAGTTTATATTATGATAAAATCATAGACTGTATATGATAAAATACGATGTTATGTTCATGTTGTGTTACTATGCAGTTCCTAATTTCAACACTAGATGGCCCCGTGACAATGTAATTCAATAGACCATGATAGTAAAACAAGCAAAGATAATCTCCTGTCTCCTGTGAGCTCAGTCTAATGTATTTATATTGTAAATAACTAAATTAATATATCAAGGAAGATAACAAAGGCAGTAAGCAAGGGCGTTTTTGTAAACGTTGGGCAACGTTAGATTTAAAATGTCGACAGTTTGACGAACGTAATGGCTTTGTTATCAAATCTCGCGAGAGTTTGTCGATAAAACACATTTGTCTCGAACAAAGACCCCCTTTCCCCTGATTTATCCGCCTAAAAAATGCCATGTTAATGCCACAGTGTATGGAAGATATGTGTCATGTGAAATATGATTCATTTTGTGAGTATTGTTGGAAACAGTCTGTTATAAACATGTGTTCACGTTCACTTCTCACAGGGCTTATTCTTCTTCTTCTTTCTCGAGTTGTATGGCTGTTTGCATCCAGCTTAATGGCGCATTACCGCCACCTTTCTGTTGCCAAGTGAGGACCAGACAATACTCATAGTTCACATTCTAAAGCCCTCACAATAACATTAAATGGATAAAAAAAAACAGAGAAATAACACAAGTCCTATGAAACCCCCCCCCCCGTACCTCTTTAACATAACAGTGCAATCTCACATTATAATTTAAATCCGGCTTTTTCTCAAAGAGGCAGGGTTTACACTAGGCGGAACCCACGTGGTATCGTCACCGGATATTGCCTCTTTCTTTGCATCGCGAAATTCTAGATTTTTTTCTCGCGAATCATTCCTGAGCCGTCTCCACGACCAGCGCCCGTGCCTCCTCCTGCAGCGCCTGCTCTTCAGATCCAATAGTCTCCTACTACTGAAAAGCTCAAAACGACTTAAATAACATGTCGGACGAAGGTAAACTCTTCATCGGCGGCCTCAGCTTCGACACCAACGAGGAATCTCTGGCTTCGGCCTTCTCTAAGTATGGAACCATCGAGAAGGTGGACGTGATCAGAGACAAAGAGACCGGGAATTCCCGCGGTTTCGGCTTTGTGAAGTACGACAACGCCGAGGATGCCAAAGACGCAATGGACGGCATGAACGGAACCACCCTCGATGGCCGGTCAATCCGCGTCGACGAGGCAGGGAAAGGCGGTCGTCCTAGGGGAGGATTCGGTGGTGGCGGCGGCGGCGCTCGCGGGGGTTCAAGAGGCGGATTCGGTCGGGGGAGAGGAGGATATGGCGGCGGTGAGAGAAGCTATGGAGGCGGCGGCGGCGGAGGAGAAAGAAGCTATGGCGACAGATCAAGCTACGGGTCCGAGGGTCGTTCGGGTGGCGGCGGAGGTGGCGGTCAGTACAGATCCGGCGGTGGAGGCAGCGGCGGATACTCAGGAGGTGGAGGAGGAGGAGGCTACAGAGAAAACAGAGGCCAGGGTGGCGGATACGAGCGACCATCTTATCGTGATGGATACGAATAAAGCATCCTTCCCCTCCCCCCCATGTATCAAGATCATCACTTCAGGCCGGCTGTATTTCAAAGATGGCTCCTCCAGAAGAAGAAAAAAAATGTCCACGTGTTTTTTGCTGACCTTAGTTTTGTAGTTATGTTGTATTAGCTCGAGCATCTTAGCACAAAAGAATATAGCCATGAGGTTTTTTTTCATTCCTTAACAAAAACCATGTTACGATGTAAGACGTTCAAGACTCTTTTAGCTCGATTTGGAAAATAAAAGGTCGTTTGTTAAACAACACATCTGTGTAATCTGAATAGTTCTGTGAAAGTCCACATTTTTGCGGACCGAACAATGGCTCGCCACGTGGCTTCCCGCTAGCTATGCTAATAGACTTAGCACGTGATTCCTGATTTTGATTCCCTTTTTTTATTTTTGTTCTATTCGTATTGAGACACCCGAAGAGACTTTTGTTCGTGTATCCTTTTTGCTGAATTCCCCTCTCTATGGTAGTCTCTAAGGTCGACTACCTCTTGCCGGGTTTTAAACGGAGAGGAAGGATTTCCGATTAAGCTTAGAAACAGACTTTTGGGGAATTTGATGCTAAATTCCCGGTTACTCCTCCTCCTCCTTTTTTCCAGACTGTACCACACATCCGAAAAGACTGTTCCTGAAATTGCATCCGGCAACGTGCAACAGTCTGTCCTTTACTCTGTGCTCTGCTCATCTGCATTTTTTATGTGCTGTAAAATGGACTAATCTTGTTTTTAAGTGATTGAAAATGTAACTTCGTTTCCCCAAAGTAATAGCTCAACCGGGATCGGTTTTGTACTTTATGTTCTTTGTATGATCGACCGTTTTTTAATTTCTTTGTCAGTTTGGCTTAATTGAGCCTATTAAACATACTGTGGAAAAAAAATAAAGATACTCTATACTAAGACCTCCTAAATCCTCACTGTCTTTTCTTATATTTACTTAAATTCATAGGTTCAACAATTAAAATGCACTCTTAATTATTCAAAACAAATGGCGCTGCAAAAATATTTAATGGTAAATTACAAATAAGGTGCTTTACCCTAAGCTAAATGTCTTATAGCATGAACCTTAAAATGCAAAAATAATGGGAATTAAGAATAACAATAGGTGCCAACATTCTCCTCTGTCAACTCAAATTCAGTTATTTAATTAAAATACACCTTTCTCTACTACAACCACTGCTAACAAAGCTCTCCTAAACAAGCAATTTAAAAATAAAAAATAAAGGTACACATGGCAACTGAGAGTGGATATGTTCCCTGTTCACTTAAATCACATGTGCCAAATCAGGCCCTTGGTGGATTTAATTTCGGCCCGCAGGATAATTTGTAATTACTAATAGATCTGGCCCGCCGGTATATTGCACGCACACCTTCACTCCATCCTGAGGGTCTCCTCAGCTCAGAGCCTGACCCCAAACATTGATGAACTTGCACCCAAGATGAGATGCCAAGTATCTGGCTTGAACTAGCATCACAGAGCAGCAAGCTGAGTTTCAATGGATGTTTCCTTCTGCACTTTTTCTCTCACGACAACAAGGACATGTTTGGGTTTTTCTTTGAGGGGAATTGTTTTTTTGAAGCTGTTGTTGGCCTGTGGAAAAATGTAATCATAAGAAATGACTCCGGAAAAGCTGCAGATTGAGCCATAAGAAATGAATGCAACTGATTATTTAATGTTTAATGTTGTTTTTATAGGCAATCATTTAAGCTTTGTTAGTTCCAGGTTTAATATGTGCAATAAGTTAATTTTAATAAGTTCTGCAATAAACATTGAACCAGTCCGGCCCTCGACTAGTACCCATTTTTACATTTTGGCCCACTGTGTATTTGAGTTTGACACCCCTGATCTAAATGTTTAAAGTCACACCCGTTGGTTTCATGTGTGTTTTTGAACCCCCTGCATATATTATGTATGTATTAGTATTCAGCTTTAAGTAACAAAGGAGCCACAGGACAGCAGCGGGGTGGAGATGGTAATGTAGAGAAGTTCAGGACAATGGAGAGTCAAATATTTTAATGGCTTCCTAATTAAATGAATTCAAAATCCACACCGTCTTCAAATAGCATTGCAATCACTTCTTTTGAAAATAAAACGACATACACATTGACTGGACTTCAGACATTGAACAGAAAATAATATTGATATCCTATAACTATAATGTGTGTGTGAAGGGACGGTTCAGTGTGTCACAGTAGATAGTGGAGCTCCTTCCTGTGGGTGGAAGCAGAACGGATGGGTGCAAAATATACTTTAGCCACCTTAAAAAGGCCCATGTAGAAGAAGCCAATATCAGCCCAAGTGCACGATTTATTTAGAATATTTTCACCGCTTTTTTATGGGAAACACGCTCATTTCCTGTGCCCTCTTTATATCTCCAGACGTTTAGTGCACCTGGTGTATGTCAGGGTTTGTGGAAAGACAAACAGCAGGGTGAGCTAGCTTCAGACATTTGACCATGTGGTCCTGCCTTTGGTTAATGTTTACTTTGTTCATGAAAACATCCTCAACAATTAGCCTTTTTTAGCAATTTTATTGATTTGAAATTGAGCCACAACAGGCTGTCTGACTGATGTGAAGTGGTGAAAATATTCTAATCATAGCTACATTTAAAACCTGTCTCTCAGCAGCAGCAGCAGCAGCCTCTTTTAAATTAACAACTGGATGTTCTTCTTCTTCTTCTTCAGGAGTTTTCTCAGAGTCATAGCTCATCAGTCCTTTCTTTACTGTCCCCTTCAGGTTCCCTCTCCTCCGTAGGTATTCTGAACGCCACGTAAGGACACGTCCTGGTGTTCAGACACACCAGCTTCTTCAGCGTGGCAGAGTTCACTATGTCGAAGCCCACACGGCCCCCGAAGGTGCTGGGCTTCCAGTAGTTTGGAGAACATATGGGGTTTCCCAGGAGGCCTTTCAGGGAGAAGGGGGCCCCCATCTCCACCATGCTCTCTCCAAACAGGGCCCCCGGTCGAGTTTGCTCCAACATCAAGCCGGGGTAAAACTCCAGAGCGTCGATGTCTCCGTAGAGTTCCTCCAGCTCGAGGGCTATCTCCTCGTTAGCTGCAAACACAATTATGGCAGAGTTAGATCTCTCTAACTCTAATATAATAATAATAATATATAGAACACCCCTTGTTGTTAAATACCAACTATGTGCAATATGCGCATGCTTCTTAGTTAACATTAAGCTGTCTTTGGCTAAACCACCTTGCTGTTCCCTAAATGAAAGATTTGATGTATTCTTATGTTCCTGGAGATCACTAAGGTCGTCCACTGCTTTTATTGTATGTATGAAAGCACCTTCTGTTCTTATGTCCTTGAACTAGATCTCGTGACCTTACGATATATAAATGAAAAACTCTCTCTGGATTTTTGGGCTACTAGTTTGAAACACGGTCATTTTGACGGTAACGGAGGACGTTCTTTTAAAGGGAATAGAAGCCAATTATGTTAAGAATGCGTGCTCCTCTAAAGATAAATATCTATTTCAAATCCTGAGTGCTGCTTGCAAGAAGGCCATCACCGGAATGTGGTTAAAACCATTAAAAAAAACCTACTTTGGATGATATGATATTTTTAAGATGGAAAGGATAACTCTTGCTTTGAGACTGCAACAGGGAATCTTTTTGTGGAGATGGGGAAAAATGGATAATATATGTTACACCAATACGACCATCATTTATCTAGAAGGGATTTTTTTTGTATTTTTAAGGGTTGTATAATCTTCCTATCTAACTTGTAGCAAGAAAAATAAAATAGGTTTTTCCTAAATGGTCAAACTATTCACACTCAAGCCCTCAAAACCCAGCTCTTCAGAACCTCCCTGTTAGACCCCTTAGTCACTTTTACGCTGCTATGGAAATTTTTGCACTCCCTTTTGCACATCATGTTTTTTATATATATCCTGCTTACTTGAAGTAAACGGTTATTTTGTGTTTTTTTTGTAAATTATTGAGTGTTCTTGCATTTTAAAGGTCCCATGTCATGGCCATTTCTACTGATCATAATTCCATTGTTGAGGTCTACTAGAATAAATGTATATTGTTCAATTTTCCAAACTCACATTGGTTTCTCAAACAGCATCTCTGTATAGTATGTGTCTGTCCTACATGGCTTGTTGGAGTTATTTTCACATTATTAACACTTGTGGTTTCATGTCTTGTTACATAAGAGTAGACCATATTTGTTAGGTGTTATTATGGGATAATTACCATTCTTGTGGTACTGCTACTGCATATTGAGTATATTAAGACCCACTCATGTACAACAACTTCCCTTACGTACAATAAATAAGCACTAATTAGAGGGTTATTGAGGAAAAACTCAACTAATGGCCTAGTACTGGGAGAATAAGGTCATGTAGAATAAGGCATTAATAAGTGTTTTATACTGACTAATAAAAAGCCAACATACTGCTAACTAGTTGATGGTGAATTTATGTACCTTAATATAAAGTGTTACCATGTGTGAAAGTGAGAGCGGCTGCCAGGAGGTTTTTACAGAGTTGCACTTTTTGACAGAATGCACAAAACTCCAACCAATCACACACACACGCAGGCACCCACGCACGCACGTACGCACGCACACACACACACCCTTCACGCACCCCTTATATACACAAAATGGGCCAATATTTTCAGCCGTCATAGGTGAGAAACACCTTTCCCTTCCTTTTTCCTGTCTTCCCATTTCTGCTTTCACAGCTGAGACACACACACACACACACACACACACACACACACACACTGTTGGCATATACTGTACAGTATGTTCCCATGCATTGTTGACATTGATGATTAGTGTTTCTTTGACTTTTTGTTCTGTTATAACGCCGTGTGTGGAATGCTTTGGCAATACTATGTATAAAATGTGGTCATGCCAATAAAGCCCCTTTGTATTGTATTGTCTTGTGTCCTCTCACCTGAGAACTGTCTGAAGGAAGTGTACGGCCTCAGGTTGAATCGCTTCCTGTACTCGTTGAAGGGCTGCATGCGAAGCTGCCGCGACTCTTTTATCGTCCCCACGGCCACTTTAGTCACCACAGGGTGGATGTTGTGGCCCCCGCCGATCTGTGGGACAGTTTCAAGTTTCAAGTTTCAAGTTTCAAGTGTCAAGTTTCAAGTTTCAATGCTTTTATTGACATGTGTACATAGCTACAGTGTAGATATGACAATGAAAATCTGAGGTCACAGTCTCCTCCAACAGAGCAACACAATAACACAGATAAAATAGTTGTATTCAAGATTCAAGGCTTTTATTGTCATATTAACTGTCAAGGGGGAACTAAGTCTTTTTTTGTGTTTCTCTTATTTTCCTACGATAATGTTATGATTGGCTGTGAATGAGAAAATATGAAGGACAGACCATCTAGAGCAGTGCGCGGACCACTGGTAGTCCGTGAGCGCCCCCTAGTGGTCCGTGAGTATATTTGTAACATTTCACATTTGAAATAAATAAATACATTGAAGTTTTCCGCACGTCCAAAACAGTCGGGTATTGTTTCTGATAGCAACGTTTCTGATAGGGCCGTGGGTCCACATTTCAGATATTACGTCATATCGGACGCAAATCTGGATCAGCTCCGTTGTAGCCCCGTTTTTAGAGATTTGGGTACGGAGGAAAAGAGAGGGTTTTATTTTCTGATGCTGCGTGAGTTCCTCGACACACTAGGGACACATGTTGATGTATAAAAGACATCAAAAAGTGCATTTTGCATGATAGGTCCCCTTTAAATGTCATTTAATAATGTGATTCTGCTACCCTATGTTTCTCCTTTTTGTAAAGCACTTTGAATTACCTTGTGTTGAAACGTGCGATACTGTATAAATAAACTGATGAGTAATCTACAAACAAAACATATTGTATAAGCTTTATATGTTTGGTGTGCAGAAATCTTAGCTTAAGAACTCACAATTCTACTTAAATACAGAAAAAAAGTACAGAAAAACTCATTTTCATGCATATTAAAAGAGCAATACTGCAGATTATCTCCCACAATTGAGTTTATTACCTGTCCGGCCACCTGTTTAGAGAAGGCGTCCACCAGCTTCTCGATGCCGTAGTGTGTGAGGACGGAGGTGTTGAAGAGGAACTGGGGATATGTCACCTGGTCTCCGCTGATCAGGAAGCTGTCGGGCATGAGGGGGTGCCAGTGGTACAGCTGCGTGAACTCCAGAGAGATGCGGTTCCCGTACTGGAAGTTAGACTTGAAGAGCAGCGTGGGGTCGAACTTCAGCTGCAGGAGATATCCACTGAGGTGCTGCACGTACTCCTCGATCACGATGCGGATCGTCTCACCTGAGGAGAGACGGCAAAAGTACACGCATCCTTTACTCAAGTAGAAGTACAGATACTCGTGTTTAAAAATACTCTGGTGAAAGTAGAAGTACTGACTAAACTTCTTTACTCAAGTAAAAGTAAAGAGGGCTTTGAAATGTACTTCAGTAAAAAGTACCCATAACTAGCAGCTGTTTTAAAGAGTACCTGACCTCCCTTTATATTAATAGAACAATAATGTCATTGTTAGCTAATGAATGTTTCCATGCTGAACAACGGCAACATGACAACGTTTTCATTGGTCCCTCTTCTTTAGAGAAGACCAGGAAATGATGGATACACGGATTGTGACCTCATAAATGACCTTATGAGTTAATGTTAGCCTGAGCTGAGTCCTGGCTCCTAAACGGTGGATAAGCTCCACATTGATATCAGGAAAGCAAACCAAAAACAATGAGAAAAAGCACTTTCAAAAAACCTAATTTAGGACTTGTAACTAATTCCCCAGCACTTACTAATGTATAACTTGCTTGAAGTGAATATATCTGCACTTTTCTTTGTGTTCGGAGTTTGATTCTTTATGGTTTTTGCACTTATTGTAAGTCGCTTTGGATAAAGACATATTGAGTATGAACTGTTATCAAATCGGAGATACAGGGTGCCACGATGTAATAAAGTGAGACTGAAGCGCTCCTTTGAGCACCGGTCAATCCTGAATAAAATACTGAGTTAAATCCCAGATCAAATGTACGTTAGAGCAGTGCTTCTCAAAGTGTGGTCCGCGAACCACTGGTGGTCCGTGAGCGCCCCCTAGTGGTCCGTGAGTATATTGGTAACATTTCACATTTGAAATAAATAAATAAATGTAAGTTTTCCGCACTCTCGCGGGAATATCTCCGCAATGGAGCGAGCTTACGATTGCATAATATAGCCCAGTGCAACACCTTCATCACACATGTTGCCACTTGTTTGCACCATTTTCAGGCGATTTGTAATCTGTTCTAGAGAAATTATGTGATTTTGGATATTTGTGGAGTTAGGTGGTCCGCGAGTGTTTTTTTATTGGTATGAAAAAGTTTGAGAAACACTGCGTTAGAGGGTCTTTAACATGTTGTTTTCAGTGACTGTCTAATGTATGTTAAATCTCTGTTTCCTTGTATCATGTCTTAATATCGGTCGTTGTTTGATGTTGCAAACTGAGCTGCTGTGATGTGAGAAAACATTTCAGACTTGATCTGACAATAAAGCATTATTGTATGTTATATTAGGGCAATTATGTACTTGTGCAATACTCATATAACATAGGATCAGGTATGACACGGTACATTTGGAGCAGTCTTCTGTTCAACAGCATCACTATCATTAATAATATTAAAGAGACCCTGCTATGCTTTTTTGGGGGGGTTTCCCTTCTCTATAGTGTGTTAATGTTGGCGTTTTTTCACACTAAAAAGGATCTTGACGTCCTCTACTGTGAATTTAAAACATTATTTTAAAAAAGTCTAAATTGCTAGCTGTTTTTTTTAACCTCAATAGGTAGGAAATTACAAATTAAATTAAATTTGAACACATTTTTTTTCCTTGGTTCCCAGGAGGAGCTATAGGTGTTTTTTCATGTAAATGTTCTGCAGAGACTTCTTTCTCTCACCCCCCCCTCTCCCTGAAACCCCTTGATTAAATCCCTTTGTTGACTATCATGGAAATATATCATTTAAATATCCTTCAGTTCCTTCTGTTGCTCGAGCCCTCGACAGACAGAAAGGTGCCGCTGGGAACTTTGTGAGGCGATTATCATCCGGGTGTTATCTGACATAATTAACATGTCTTCTGTCCCTTTGTTCACCGTTTGGTAGGCTTACATTTAAATGATTAGTTGCCTTAACCCCCACCTTTGTTTCCTGTTTCTCTGCATAAGTTAAAGTGCACCTACAGTATCATGCTATCTTTAGGCAATAGCATAGGTCTCAGATATATACAAATATATAAAAAACATGTCTATGAAGTGTTTTGCTCAAAATACCAAACAGATCACCCATTCTAGCCATGCCTCATATCCCTCTATTTCACTTCCTGTTTCAAAAGTGCTGATTTGGGGTATAAAGCTTTAAATAAAACAGAAGAGGAGGGGTCTGAGCTCATGCGGCACCCGGCAGCTACCGTCTAAACTAAATACTGCCGTGATGAAACGCCATATCATGGATTATCAAGGATTCTTTCTGAAACAGTATGGAGCTCAAAGGCTTTCTCTCTTGCCGGTTATACCACAAGGTGAGTTCCTTTTTATTTCCTGCTTCTTCACACACATGCTCTCCAGTACAGGTTAGCTCTGAGTGTTAGCGATGCTAATGTAAACACCGACCATATTACGTCCAAAACAGTCGGGCATTGTTTCTGATAGCAACTTTCTGATTGGCCCGTGGGTCCACATTTCAGATATTACGTCATATCGGACGCAAATCTGGATCAGCTCCGTTGTACCCCCGTTTTTAGAGATTTGGGTACGGAGGAAAAGAGAGAGGGTTATATTTTCTGACGCTGCGTGAGTTCCCCGACACACCGGGGACACATGTTGATGTAGAGAAGACATTAAAAAGTGCATTTTGCATGATAGGTCCCCTTTAAGTCAAATTGAGGAATTAAAACAACTTTTGGTAACACTTTATATTAAGGTACACTTATTCACCATCAACTAGTTGTTAATTAACATATTAGAGTCAAACTACTAGCTTATTTGTTATGAACAAGACAAAATAAAATAGTTTTTTCCCAAATGGTCAAACTATTCACACTCAAGCCCTCAAAACCCACCTCTTCCCCCACTTCATTACTTTGCCTTTTCTTCTGTATGTTTCTTTAAGTTTACAGTTTACTACATTTCATCTTTGTTTCGTTTTCTTATTGTTTTGTCAAGTGACTTTGAGTACTTAGAAAAAGCGCTTTCTAAATGAAATGTATTATTATTATCATGGGCGTCACATTGTGAGAAAAAAAGTAATTATACATACACTTACAGTACTTTTTCTGATAACTAAAGGTGGTACAAGTACTCAGATCTAGTACTTGAGTAAAAGTAGAAGTACCAGAGTGTAGGAATACTCTGTTACAGTAAAAGTACTGCATTCAAAAATGTTGATGTAGAAGAGACGTGAAGAAGAGGGGACACACGTTGATGTAGAAGAGACATGAAGAAGAGGGGACACATGTTGATGTAGAAGAGACATGAAGAAGAGGGGACACATGTTGATGTAGAAGAGACATGAAGAAGAGGTGACACATGTTGATGTAGAAGAGACATGAAGAAGAGGGGACACATGTTGATGTAGAAGAGACATGAAGAAGAGGGGACACATGTTGATGAAGAAGAGACATGAAGAAGAGGGGACACATGTTGATGTAGAAGAGACATGAAGAAGAGGGGACACATGTTGATGTAGAAGAGACATGAAGAAGAGGGGACACATGTTGATGTAGAGGAGACATGAAGAAGAGGGGACACATGTTGATGTAGAAGAGACATGAAGAAGAGGGGACACATGTTGATGAAGAAGAGACATGAAGAAGAGGGGACACATGTTGATGTAGAAGAGACGTGAAGAAGAGGGGACACATGTTGATGTAGAAGAGACATGAAGAAGAGGGGACACATGTTGATGTAGAAGAGACATGAAGAAGAGGGGACACATGTTGATGAAGAAGAGACATGAAGAAGAGGGGACACATGTTGATGTAGAAGAGACATGAAGAAGAGGGGACACATGTTGATGTAGAAGAGACATGAAGAAGAGGGGACACATGTTGATGAAGAAGAGACATGAAGAAGAGGGGACACATGTTGATGTAGAAGAGACATGAAGAAGAGGGGACACATGTTGATGTAGAAGAGACATGAAGAAGAGGGGACACATGTTGATGTAGAAGAGACATGAAGAAGAGGGGACACATGTTGATGTAGAAGAGACATGAAGAAGAGGGGACACATGGTGATGTAGAAGAGACATGAAGAAGAGGGGACACATGTTGATGAAGAAGAGACATGAAGAAGAGGGGACACATGTTGATGTAGAAGAGACATGAAGAAGAGGGGACACATGTTGATGTAGAAGAGACATGAAGAAGAGGGGACACATGTTGATGTAGAGGAGACATGAAGAAGAGGGGACACATGTTGATGTAGAAGAGACATGAAGAAGAGGGGACACATGTTGATGTAGAAGAGACATGAAGAAGAGGGGACACATGTTGATGTAGAAGAGACATGGAGAAGAGGGGACACATGTTGATGTAGAAGAGACATGAAGAAGAGGGGACACATGTTGATGTAGAAGAGACATGAAGAAGAGGGGACACATGTTGATGTAGAAGAGACATGAAGAAGAGGGGACACATGTTGATGTAGAAGAGACATGAAGAAGAGGGGACACATGTTGATGTAGAAGAGACATGAAGAAGTGGGTTTTGCATAATAGGTGATCTTTAAAGGTGTCCCCTCTCACCGATGATGATGAGGCGCGTGGTCTGGAACAGCTGCTCGTCCCCCCAGGTGGGGTGCTCTCTCTTCAGGACGTCACACACTCGGTTGTGCTCTCTCAGCCAAAGCGTCGCAAACATCCCCAAACCAGGAAGCAGCCCGAACACTTCCTGTCCGATCGCCATCTGATTCTCAGGGGGCGTCCCGGGGGGGTAGCTCATCTTAACGGGGGCATCAGCAACAGTGGGGGGGAACATCTCCCCGTCAACTAACTGATGGGGAAACAAAACTCAATGATTACACACAGAGGTGGGAAGTAGTGGAGTACAAATACTTCGTTACTGTACTTAAGAACATGTTTCTGGTATCAGTACTTTACTCAACTACTTATTTTTCTGACGACTTTTTACTTTGACTTCTTACATGTTGAACACAAATACCTGTACTTTCTACTTCTTACATGTTGAACGCAAATACCTGTACTTTCTACTTCTCACATGTTGAACACAAACACCTGTACTTTCTACTTCTTACATGTTGAACACAAATACCTGTACTTTCTACTTCTTACATGTTGAACACAAATACCTGTACTTTCTACTTCTTACATTTTGAACACAAATACCTGTACTTTCTACTTCTTACATTTTGAACACAAATACCTGTACTTTCTACTTCTTACATGTTGAACCCAAATACCTGTACTTTCTACTTCTTACATGTTGAACACAAATACCTGTACTTTCTACTTCTCTCATTTCCCAAACAGGCTGGTTCCTTTAGTTTGAATGTGTGTTTGGTGGCGTGATCATTATTATTTAGAGTCATTGCGTGCCTATTGATTTGAACACGATCCGTGTATCCATCATTTCCTGGTCTTCTCTAAAGAAGAGGGACCAATGAAAACGTTGTCATGTTGCCGTTGTTCAGCATGGAAACATTCATTAGCTAACAATGACATTATTGTTCTATTAATATAAAGGGAGGTCAGGTACTCTTTAAAACAGCTGCTAGTTACGGGTACTTTTTACTGAAGTACATTTCAAAGCCCTCTTTACTTTTACTTGAGTAAAGAAGTTTAGTCAGTACTTCTACTTTTTTCAAACACGAGTATCTGTACTTCTACTTGAGTAAAGGATGTGAGTACTTTTGCCATCTCTGATTATACAACACAACACAACATCTGTCTTTCCCATCTCTCTGCAGCAACATGCAGCATTTAATCTGAATAAAAAGGTACGGTATATTTGAAGTTAATCTACAGTACCAGTCAAAAGTCTGGACACACCTTCTCATTCAATGGTTTTTGTTTATTTAATTTTGTTTCTACTTTGTAAATTAATACTGAAGACATCAAAACTATAAAAGAACACATATGGAATTATCTAGTAAACAAAAAAGTGTTAAACATTTACAGAATATTATTTTGATTTTAGATTCTTCAAAGTAGCCCCCTTTTGCCTTGATGACAGCTTTGCACACGCTCAGGGTGTTTCTCAATCGCGAGTACACTTGCTTGGTAGCACATGTCTGCCGAGCATCTTGCTTCAGAAGCGAGTCAAGAATACTTCCTGGCATTCGGAAAACAAAGAGTGGAACAGGCTAGCAAGTGTGCAGGTGTGCGTCATATGAGAGGCCCCGCCTCTTACATCTTCCGCCACAGATTTGGGGAAATTGGTCCGTGCGCAAAGCATTGTGGGGATTTTAAGACCGTGAAGTCTACTCATGTGCAGCCTCGATATTTCTCCAAACGGAGTACGCCGGGCTCGGTAGATTTCCAAGTATGCTGGAGATTGGAACAGTACTTCGGCGGCACTCGATGACGTAGGATGCTTGAAATAGTGGCTCTGAAGCAGCTTTACTCGCGATTGAGAAACACCCAAAGTCAGCTTCATGAGGTAAATGTACTTAGTTACTTCACACCTAAATGTACTTAGTTACTTCACACCTAAATGTACTTAGTTACTTCACACCTAAATGTACTTAGTTACTTCACACCTAAATGTACTTAGTTACTTCACACCTCGGCTGATATTGAGAACAGACTTGACTGAACACTACAACCCCTCTGTCCTTGCAAATGGAAATGATGCGTTCATGTTTTCTCCGCAGCTCTTTTCCTCTCACCTGATACTTGAGTTTTCCGTCTCTGTGCAGCCTGAGAACGAGCTGACGCTGCAGATTGTCTCCGT